TTCCCAATAATCACAGACCTTATTTCTTGGCCATCTTGCTTCATAGTTGTCTTTGTGGTTAATAAATGTCTCTTAAGACCTAAAATACCACAGAACCAAAGAAAATGGCTCACAATCCTTTGTCCTTAAAAATAATTTTAAAATTACTTTCTTTGTTTTATTAAGCAAGTTAAGTCTAATTTTATAAGAATGCACAGCTCACTTCTGGGTGTTTATAAGAAAGCACAGCTCACATGCAGGATTTTTTATTTTATTTTATTTTTTATTTTCGCCTGTAATTGTGAAGAAAGAGCAGAAAAGGGCGAAATAGCAAAGCTGTGTTTTCTCAAACTGACCCAAGAAGAGTTTAATCTCTGTGGTCTTCAATGCGTCAAGCGTGGGCTTTTATAATAATGTTAATATAAAAATCCAACTTTTGCCATAGTTGCTAAGATTCCCAAGGTTTTGCCAACTGGAAGCTTTAAAAATGCATTCCCTTTTCTATTTTGTTTGAACTGGAAGTTACTTGTAAAACCTGGTTTTGATCCTTGAGAACTTTCTCCTAGACATTCTGGCCAACAAAGGGGACACTTTCCCTGAGAAACTAGGAAATTCCATGAGGTGTTTTCCTGCCACCTCCTCATGCCCTCCAGTGAGTGGGAGCTGTCTGGTAAGCAAACACAGACAGCCCTCATGTAAACCCGTCAGAGGTCTCCCTTTGCAGTGGAGGATGGGAAACATTGCAGAAGGAGATTTTAATCATGGGGTTGACTCTTTCTGGTCTGGGTATGTGGCTCGATCTGCAACCACCCCATCTTGACCCAGGGAGTAGGGGGAGTGGAAAGTCTGATTACAGCTTCCGGTCCCCGGCCATCACTCCCATTGCTTCTTCCAAGGTGTCAGTTTCGCCAACTCCAATTAATTGAACGACATTAAAACTAAGCCATTAAAGAGTGCACAACCCATAGGACGTGACCTGGAAAATACCCATTCATCTGTATTTATTGGAAAGCATTACTGTCTCTTCCCTGTGTGCTAGTTGTGCGAAGATGCGTGCAGTGGACTCGTTCCCAGGGTGATGGAGGCTAGGTGAGATTGTCGCTGCGAAGTAGAAGCATTATGTCACTGGGGTGTAGTAGGATGGTGTAGTGCGGCAAAGAAGATACCGAGCACTTTAGTAGCTGTGGTCAGGGAAAGCCGCAGGGAGGAGGTGATATATATATATATATATATATATATATATATATATATATATGCTGGGATAGACACTTTATGAGTAGCACATGGGAAAAAGAATCTTGAAGCGAGTTTCTCAAGTCTGAGGACACAGCAGAACAAAATAAAAGTAAAAAGGCAAAATCAAAAAACAAAAAACAGATATTCTGTGTATGCCTCCCATGAATAAAGGGAAGAAGTACTGTACATGCTTGTGTGTCCCACACTGGCATGTGGTCAGTGTGTGTGCAGGAGTATGTGCGTGTGTGTCTGGAGTATGGTATACTTAACGTTCCCCTTATCTGTTGGAAATTCTTCAAAGGAAATTGATTATCATCAGGGAGACAGACAGACCATTGTCCATCTGTCCAAATGCAGTTTTGCTGATACTTGGACCCCTCTTACCCAACTGTGTTGGATTGTTCCATGTATATGGGGCGAAGCTGAGAATTTTCCAGAATCTCTGTCCTTGAGTAGTTCTGGGCTAGGTGTGGTCAAAGGACAAGTTGGCAGAGGTCCGAAAGCAGGAGTGAGGTGGCGCCATGGCACTGAGGCTGCAGTGCTCTGTTAGGACAGAAGCCTGAATGTCCCGCACATCCTCACTCTATGCTGCACCCACCTTTCCGTTTTGGCAACAGCAGTTGTTGGCCAACAGTGGCCTGAACCTCATTAACAGAGACCTGTGTGGACCAGGGCAGTAGCTATCAAAGGCACCAACTTCTCAGAGACCTGCATGAGCTCCCTTTGTGATCCCGATTATTGCCTGGACATGGTAGATTTTCAATTTCCCTACAAGTTCCCACATGCTAATCCTAATGTTAATTAGGAAACGGGTAGTGAAAGCTTGTCCAACTTTCACTTCCAGCTTCTTGCATCCTGGGTGAGTCTTAAATCCAGTATCATGTTAATGACAGCTTCCTCCCACTCCCCTACCCTGGATTGTAAGTGGGAGGCTTATGCTTCTGTGTTAGAGAATCAGGCCTGTCTCCAACCACTGGTCTGGGTTTAATAACAATCTCTGGTCTAGACTTTCTAGCCTATGGTAAAATCTTCTGGCTTGGCCCAGCTGCCACATCCTCCTAAGTTTGTCTCAAGATCCTGATGCAGAGGGTTTCTGGAGGGACAAGGAACCAGCTATTTTGGCTAATCCTTGTTGTCAACTTGGCTACATCTGAAATGACCTGAAATGCAAGCTGCTGGGTGTTTTTGAGTGATTGTCTTGACAGATTACTTGAAGCAGGAAGTTTTACTCTAAATGTGGGCTGTACTTTCTGCGGGCACCCTGATAAAGACATAGAAGGCACCGACCTCACTTCTACCTGCTTGCTGTCACTCTTGCTGGCAAATCTCTCTGCCGTTCTGCTGTGGCACTCCTTTGCTGATATTAGCACCAACTTCTTTGGGCTTCCCATTTAGAGTGACATCTCAAGCCTTTTCAGGAATCCTTCAATCCTTCAGCACGAGACTGGGACAGCAGAGGAATTCTGCCGCATGTACTGAACAGCCACCAGGTTCTCTGCCTCTCCTGTGGGAGACAGCCATTGTCAAAGTATCCAGACCATACCATGTAAGCCAACCTAAACTCTTAGCCTCTCTCTCTCCCTCCTTCTCTTTCTCTCCTTCTCCCTCTCCTTCCCTCTCTTCTCCCCTTCCCTGTTCCCTCCTTCTCCTCTCTCTGCCCCATTCCTTTGGAGAGCCCTCATACACCAGGCTCCTTATCTTTCACCACCGGATGATTCTGCCACAATATGCTGGCATGTTCTAAATTGCTCTGAGGCCCTTGTTTTATTTTCATCATTGCAGACAAGGGTGCTATGCAGTATCCTCTTGTTCTTGTGTCTGTATTGAGCTGTGTTCACGTCTTGTCAGTCCCTTTTCATGATAAACCTATTTTGTCATTGTTTTTGCTGTTGATTAGGTGTTTTAACACATGTGCTTACTAAGTAGCCTTGATGGTCTGGAGCTTGGATCTGCTTGCCTTTGCGGCTTAATAAAGGCGTTTCACCTCTATAACTTTGAGCATTGTTGCTGGCATCTTCGAGTTGCTACGTGATCAAGACAAGAAAGACCCTGAAGAAGGAAAGAAGGGCAGTTATAGGATAGGTGTCACCTTAAGGTGCACCCGTGAGGAGAAGGAGGGAGGGAAAGAGGACAACCTTGGGGCTGGACCACTTACCTGAGGTCAGCATCAGCTGCAGAAGGACTCAGCTGCCTTCTCCATCTGCAATCCAGGAAGTATGCCTTCATCTGTGTAGGAAGAAAGAATTTTCAGTTGCTTTTGCTCCTTACCAATCCCAGGAGCTGGAGCCTTCTGGGTATCTAAATGGGACTGGGGTAGCCTACATCAGGGCAGCCTGCCCTAGGATAGTCACAGACTCTGGAGCAAGACAAGTAGTAAAGCTGATATTATCGTAGTATATGACAAGGAAGGGTTTGATGGGAGTGACAAAGGAGGGTTTGAAGGGGGTGACAGGGCCAAGCACAATGCCTGGTACATGCCATGTCATTCACATTTAGCACATCTGTCCATAACCCCTCTAGTGCTGGCCAAGAATACATCTTGAGCTGCTCGACTGCACACATTTGAAACCTATTTCATGTGCACCTTGGTCTCTCAGCTAGCTTCTTGCTTGGGTCTGACTGCTCTTCCTGTCTTTCACATGGGGTACTGGTAGATAGTGGACTGTGGCTTGAAATAGTTTCCTTGTAGGGAAAAATATCAGGGTCAGCATTATCAGGGAGATCTGTGTGGCTGTGTGGTGTTAATACTGATCAGACCTTCCTGGGAGTGACTAAGATGTGATTGCTATTATCTGAGTGTGAGCATTCTTCTCTGAAGATTGTGGGCTTGTAAAGAATCTCAGTGATAGAGCATTTGCCTGGTTTGTGCAAGGCCCTGGGTTTGATCCCAATTCTTCAAAACCAAAACCCAAACCCCTACATGACCAATCGTCACAGGGCTTTCAAACTGACATTGTCCCCCTCTGAGCAGACACTCCTTCTGTCTACAGACTCCTGCTGATGGTGAAATAAGGTTGGCACCTTCCTGAAAGACACAGTAGCCCACATAGAAGTTTCTGAGGATTCTTCCTATCTGGGCACCTGAGGGAAAGAGCCATGATCACAAGAATCATAATCCCCTTCAAGCTCCATAAGACATGGGTATGTGACAAGGTCCAGGTGGCCTTTAGGAGTGGACAGCTAGCAGAAACAGTGATTTCTACAGCCCATAGCTGTCTCCAGGGATTCTTTGTCTTTTCTTTCATCTCCACTTTCAGTCCCTGAGATGTTTTCCAGCTTTAGTCTGAAGAAGTCCCATCCCTCTGCATTAGAGCATGCAGCTCTGCACAGCTATGAGCTTGCTCTGTTAGCCTCTGAGGACCAATTCAAGCCTCCTCAGCGCTCAGCTCAGTCCTTTCTCAGGAAGAGAGATTCTCATTTGCCTACTCACAACTGCACAGACTCCTCACCCCGCACCTCCAAATGTTTCTTTCAGGGGATGAGTTGCGTTATGATAACCCGTCAGGACAGCAAGTACTAGCAGTGGCCATGCCATTATTGCGGGCTGAGGCTCCCATGTAGCAGACAGGTGCTGTTCAGGTGAGCTTATGTGTACATTTTCCCTTGGAGATGGGATCTAGGTCAATGAGGCTTTGAAAATCCCGGGCATCTCTTTATATTGAAGCATCCGTGGACATGCCAAGTTGTATCAAAGCATCATGTGTTAACTATACAGCTACAAGAGCAGCCGCCTGTAGACCTGAATACCAACCTGACATGTACTGAGGTCCAGTCTTATTCCACAGATGCAGCTGTGACCACAATCAAATTTGTTGTGGCCATGAATATATAAATAAGCCTTAGCCCAAGAACTCTGCCGCTTCCCAGAAACGAGGTAGGTCCTTTTTTTTACATACAACCTTGCATTGTTTTGGATATGTCTGGAGTGTTTACCTCTATTTCCAAATGAATTCTGGTTGTAGAAGTTGATATGGAGCCAGCATTAGGTAGCTTTGGAGAACTGCAAACCCCAGATATTCACGGGCGAATCAGGGCCTATGTCTTCCTATCTTCATTTGTACTCCCAGCAGATGCTGACTAAGCTGGTTGCACTGGGAGGGGTTTCTACAGACTCCTACAGTCTTCAAGTCATCCAGTCTAAATCTTCCAAACAGCAATGGCTCATGTGAGTAAGAGATAGGACTGTCACCCTTCTTGGTTCCTCAGCACTCCAGAGCTCCCGTCTCTTCTGAAAACCACAAGAGTGATGATGTTGCCTGCTCATGCTCAGCAGCCATGATGTATGTCTTGAATGCAGGGTGAGTTCCCAAGTCAAGCACCTCCTATTCCGCGTTCACTGTGGCTACATACAAATACCCAGAGCTTGCGAAAGCAACCAGAGAGAGTCTTTTTAAAGGCAACCTGAGTTGTTGTCATGAAGCAGAGAAGAGATCTCAGATTGATTTGCTCTTGCTTTTTAGTGAACCACCAGAAACTTGATGGTATAATCAAATCACTTCATTGTGCTTATGAATTCAGGGATCTGGAATAAGACAGGGCCCAGACCAGGCTCTTTGCTCTTTATGGTGACAGATCTCTGCTAGGAAGTCAGGAATGACATGACTGCAACATCCCTTCTGATGACTTCCTCCTGCACTATCTGCTAACTGAGCTAGGATGGCTAATGTGAGGCTCACCTGGGACCAGAGCATTCATGTAGGGCTATGATTTGAATCAGAAATGTCTCCCACAGGCTCATATTTTATCTGTTACTATTTTGGGATACTATGGGCCCTTTAGGGGGAGCAGAATAGCTGGCAGAAGTGGGTCACTGGGAACAGGTGTTTGAAGGTTAAAAGCCTGTTTCCTTTTCCCTGGTCTGCCACAAGTGAACAGTCACTACCACATACTTTAACCGTTGTCTATGTATTCCTGACAATGAGGGATTGAGACACCCTGAAATCATGAGCCCAAAGAAGCTTTCATTTTCTTGTTTATTCCAGGTATTGTGGTCACAACAGTACAGATTTAACCAATATGTGTGGCTCCTGTGTGTAGCTCAGGCTTCTCAGAGCATGTCAGCTTGGCCATGAGTAAGAATGTCCAGAGAGGGCATTCTAGGAACAGTCAGTACAAGGGAGATGCACGGACTTTTCTGCCATAGCAAGAAACATCTTTAGAAGCAAAGGAAAGGACACAGACCTAACTGAGATGCTCAAGTTTGAAGGAAAGCATTGGTGTGACAAATATTTTCATGCCTTCTTTGGAAAATTAACCCCCATGTATTCTGGGCCTAACAATTCTTTCTGATCTCTAGACTACAGGGTTCAACCCAACCTAAAAGGCTATAAGGAATAGTAGTTTTATAGCACAGATGTGCTGTCTTATTCAGTACAAAGGATGGCCTAGTTGCTTTCTTGTTTTCCATTCTGTGATAGTATCAACGAGATGTCCTCCATAGTCTTGAGTACTTAAAAATTTGGTCCCCAATTAGTGGCACTGTTTTGGTGAGTTTCTGAGGTATGGCCTTGCTGGAAGAAGTATGTCACTGGAGAGTGGAATTTGAAGTTTCAAAGCCCCACACCCTTTGAGTTCACTCTGTGCTTTGTATTTTAGGATCACAATGTGAGCTCTCAGCTTATGTTCCTGCCACCGTATTTTCAAGCCACCATCATGGACTCTAATCCTCCAGAACTGTAAGTCCAAATAAACTCTTTCTTCTGTAAATTGCCTTGGTCATGATTTTTTGTCACAGCAATAGAAAAAAGTAACTAATATATATCTCAGTCTCTTTTTCACAGATATAAGGTTTATAGGCCCCCCATGTCACTTTTGTGTGTCCAGAGACTGACAAGGGCTAAGGTTTTAAAGACTAGTGTGATAGTTAATGTTGATTCTCAACTTTATAAGATTGAGATTCTCCTTCAACATGGGTCTCTGGGTTTATCAAGATTAGTGCTAATCTCTGGGCATGACTGTGAGGGATTAATTTGATGAGGTAAATTAAGGTCTAAAAGTATACCTCCAATGGATGGCACCATTTCCTGGGGTTGACTTTTAACTTCTGGACTGGATACAAGAAAGACAGCTGGCATCATATTTTTCCACTTCTTAACTGTGGATAAAACATAACCAGCTTTTGCCACCAAAACTGCCCCACCATGTGTTGAAATAAGAGCGGCGGGGCTGCGTCCCCAACACCCCAGCTGCCTGCTAGCTCATGCCCGAAATAACAACACACAAATTGTATTCTTTTAAACACTGCTTGTCTATTATATCTAGCCTCTTCTCGGCTAACTCTCGCACCTGGACTAGCCCATTTCTAATAATGTGTGTAAGTACCCCAAGGTGTGCTTACCAGGAAGATTCTAGCCTACATCCATCCTGGCTCGGAGCTTCATCACGTGTGTCTCTGAGAGCAGAGCTATCTCGCGTCTGTCTGAGGAGTCTTACCTCACTTCCTCTTTCTCCTGTTTACTCCTCCCACCTATATTTTAACCTATCAGGGCAAGCAGTTTCTTTATTTAATTAACCAATGAAATCAACAGATTGATATATGACACTCCCACATCAACCATGACAGGCTGCTCTTCTGAACCGAAACAAACCCTTGCATGTTGAGATTTGCTGAGTGAGGGTCATGGAGAAATGGAAGCTCAGCCTCAACGTATTATTGCAGAGCTGTGTCTTACTAAATAGCTCACAGCCATCTCTGTCAGAACTGGAGTACACCGGAATTCCACTGAGAAGCTTTAGGGCATTATCAGTTGACAAATGGAGCCTGGAAGTAGTTGGGGACTTTGGCTTCTGGGAAGAGACAAGGAGGCATTATGTGTAGAGCTCAAGTGGTTGTCTTAAAGAGATGTCATTCTCAAGGATGTCATAAGCATCTAATTCTCTAGATCCACCCAACTCTCCTCTTCCCCTGTGTTGTGCTCCAAGAGGCCAAACAGTGTGAGTTAGCAGTCTGTGTTTCCTTGGCATCATAGTTCTATGACTTCTATAGAAAACAAGGGAGAAAGGAGAGAAAAACCAGAAGTGGCCCCCTTGACATAATCCTCATTATGTACTCATTTGGGTATATATAAGTGTGGAAGCTGGATATCAATACCAGGTTTCTCTGGTTACTCTATAATTTTTGAGACAGGGTCTCTCTCTGAACCTGGAACTTACCATTTCAGTTAAATTGACTAGACAGAGAACCTACAGGATCCCCCTATTTGTTCCTTTAGAACGCGGGGTTGCAGGTGTTTGCTGCCACTCCTGGTTTTTATGTGGATAATAGATATCCAAAAGGTCCTCATAATTAAGCAACAGGCACTTTGCATCTCCTAGGTCCCAAGTTTACCTTCTTTCTTTAAGACTTGGCACTATATTGTTCATTGTGTAAAACCCTAATGCTGTTCATTAGGAAAGAAGAAAGAAAATATAAACCTGCCAGTTCCTGTTGCTCATTAGTCAAGGGTTGTATCATGTACATGTTGTGAAATTTGGGAGATTCTTAAAAGAAAAGTATTTTTATTAATCATTTGAGAATTCCCTATAATATATTTGTTTTATGTTCACCCACACATACTCCTTCACCTATCTAGATCCACCTCACCTCCTTACTCCCTAACAAATTCATGTACTCTTGTTTGTTTTTTTGGTTTAGATAGCTCACAGAGTCCACTTAGCACTACTTGTAACATTTTTGCCACTACTGAGCCCATGGACATCATCTAGCCCTACTGCTCATTGAAGTTCATGGGGCTCAGTGAGATGGTTGATGATCTTTTCTCCCTAGAAGCCTGCCTAGTGCTTTCTGGTACCGTGAAAGCTAGCCAGCATGGAGAAAGCTTCTTGATATGAACCACCTTGATCGCTCCACATCCTGTGAGCAAAGTGTGTGGTGTCTTCAGCAATAGGGTCTCACTAAGAAGTTCTGGCAGGCAACCAAGAACAATAGAAACAACATATATTCTTCTGAGGGGTCTCTAGGCAGAGGTAACTCGCATCTGACATTGGACCTTTTATTTGGCAATATATGTTTTCTGGAGAAAGCATTATCCCTGTGAAGGTTAACTCCAATTAAACTTTTTATGTGAATATATAGATATTGAGGAAGCTTATAACAGTAATTTTGCTTTTTCAACTATCATTGGTATTAATTACCCCCCCCCCACAACCTCTTCAGCCCTATTCTCTCATCCTTCTTCCAACTTAAACCTCCATTATCATTATTCTCCCTTTCTCCTTCATATCACCTTCTCTAGGGGATATTTTTCAAATACTGGTTCCATTCCATCGATTGTTACACATTCTTAAAAATTATGTACCTCATCTTGTTTAACTGTGATAGGTCAGGTACACTTAGAAATTGTTGAAATTAGGAGCGGCAGGGCTGCGTCCCCGGCACCCGGCCGCCCGCATGGCTAGCTTATACCCAGAAATAATTACACGGAAACTGTATTCTTTCAAACACTGCCTGGCCCGGCTAGGTCCAGTTTCTTATTGGCTAGCCCTTACATATTGTTCTAACCCATTTCTAATATTCTGTGTAGCCCATGAGCTGGCTTACCAGAGAGGATCTTAACCTGCGTCTGTCTGGAGCAGGGGAATCATGGCGACTTCTTCACTAAGCTTCTTTTTCCCAGCATTCTCTTCTGTCTACTCCGCCCACCTAATTTTCTGTCCTATGAGGGCCGAGGCAGTTTCTTTATTATTACAAGACCCACCTCCATCATTTCCCCTTTTTCTGTTTAAACAAAAAAAGGCTTTAACTTTAACATAGTAAAATTACATATAACAAAACAGTTATCAAGTAAGAATTACAGTTACAATATTTATATCTAATTTATCTCTTATCATAACTAAGGAAAACTATATTCATTCTTCAACTCCATCAAAGACTCCAGAAGGATATAATACTACCTAAGTAAACAAGAAATAAGAAAACTCTAGAAATGACAGAGACATCTCGCTGCCTGGACAGTCACCCAAAGTTCCTCTGTACCGTTGGGGCATCCATCTTCGGCCTTCAGGCCCATGGTATCCAGAGACATTTCCATGAAGCAGGAAATTTCAAAGACAGTTCAGTCATTTTCTGCTGTGTCCTGCAGAATGTCTCGCAGACTCTTTCATGAATCAGGAACCCCGAAAGACCATCTCACCTTTAGGCAAGTTCAGCAGTCCTCTCTCTGCAGGTTCTCTGTGTCCAGTTTATGCAACAGTCCAGGCAAGAGCAGTTTCTTGCCCAAATGACTATCAAACTCCATAAGGATCCTCTTCGATGCCCATCTTCCTCTTGAAGTAGCTTGTGCTGCCAGGAGCAGACATGTCTCATTGTCATGAAAAGCCCTAAGTTATTAAAACATTTAAATGCCATATTCTGTAGCCTTTGAAAGATATGAAGAATGCCTATCTAACTGAAATATATCTCTATATATCTAGAAAATCTAATTAACATGACTACAAGCTTAACTATTAGCGATGATTATCCATTAACAACCTATATTTTCTAATTATACATTACATTTTAAATGAACTACACAATCACAATACCTTAATCAAGATCAAAAATACATATGCATATAACAAAATTGACCATAAAATCCATACCAATGCAAATTATTCATATCTATATCATATCCCCCTTTAAATGTAAAAGAACATTTATAAACAATATTTGGGAACATGGGCATAGTTTTTTCTCTCCAAACTGCTTCCTGCTGAATAGGGGCGTCATTAATTAGGTCTTTTGTGGTATAACCTGTGTGCTAGTTTCATCTCAGTTGGCAATTGAGCGAAGCAATTTTTTGAGGGTGTTCACAGCAACCTTTCAGGAGGGCGTGGTCTATCATACCAAATCGGAATAGATGCAATCCACAGGGTCACATCCTCTGTGAAAACAAAAGAAGACCCTCTCCAAAGCATATTATATCCTTCTGGAGTCTTTGATGGAGTTGAAGAATGAATAGATAGTTATAGTTTTCCTTAGTTATGATAAGAGATAAAATAGATATAAATATTGTAACTGTAATTCTTACTTGATAACTGTTTTGTTATATGTAATTTTACTATGTTAAAGTTAAAGCCTTTCTTTTTTGTTTAAACAGAAAAAGGGGAAATGATGGAGGTGGGTCTTGTAATAATAAAGAAACTGCCTCGGCCCTCATAGGACAGAAAATTAGGTAGGCGGAGTAGACAGAAGAGGATGCTGGGAAAAAGAAGCTTAGTCGAGGAGTCGCCATGGTTCTCCCGCTCCAGACAGACGCAGGTTAAGATCCTCCCTGGTAAGCCAGCTCGTGGGCTACACAGAATATTAGAAATGGGTTAGAACAATATGTAAGAGCTAACCAATAAGAAACTGGAACTAGCCGGGCCAGGCAGTGTTTGAAAGAATACAGTTTCCGTGTAATTATTTCTGGGCATAAGCTAGCCATGCGGGCGGCCGGGTGCCGGGGACGCAGCCCTGCTGCCGCTCATATTTCAACAAGAAATGTATCATTATTTTATATTTTCCAGTTGCATGAAATATAAACAGTTAAAGTATATCTTATGATTCTCAAAATTTTCTAAGTGTTGGTTATAATTTTGAAAAAGATATCTACTTTTAACCTCTAGTTAATTTAAATTCTCTTTCTGTCAAGTTCACTAAAGTTTTGTCAAACTTGTTAATCTTTTCATGGACCCAAGTCATCAAT